AAGTGGATCGAGTGGATCTACAGCTTCTACTTTGTAGCGTACCTTAACAATGTAATCCTTATAAAGGCACTTTACTTATATAGATAAACAATAAATAATAATATAAACTTCTGTTTAAATTTTAATTTTATTTATTAATTAGAGTTTAAAATTTTTGTTTTAGAAAGTAATTCAAGATTATATTATATTTTACCTCTTTTGTTTCCAATTGGAGGTTTATTTAATTGAAATGGAGAATGTGATGTTGAAAAACTAATGTTTGGTAATCTAAATGGCGAACAGCTACCAAAAGAATCCTGTGCTGGGTTGACCATGTTAACACCTTCAAAAACACTTATAAATATTTTTGACACGTTAATGTAAGAACAATTTCAAATGATCTTTAAAGCATTTCAAATCAATAAGGTTAGTGTTTCAAATTAAGAAAAAATAAATTTAGTTAGTCTGAAGAAAACAGCATGTTGTTGGTCAATATTTTGTCGAAGCCTTCACATGTAGATTGCTTCTTCGAACTTAGTTTTCATCAGCACTTCATAGGCAATTCCAACATATGTTGATGAAAGTTGGAAATATTAATCTATGTACGGCTTTACGGCATATTGACCATTAACAACACATTCTATATAACTTGGTTTGCATGGCTCAGTTTAACAAAGCGATTACATTAAAAGGGACCTTGTTATTATTTTAAGATTGCATGTGGGTCATCAGCATACTCTGTATAGGTACAGCAATCTGCTCAATATTGACTGATGTACATTTATTTATCAATAAAGCTACGATATAAGCTACGCACGAGAATTGTAGGTTACATCGTTTCTACTACTACAGTGACTGTACGTCATAACAAACTTGGTATGTTCGTAGCATACGTTCAAGCTTATTTGAAAGAGAATACATGCCGTATGCCAATGAGTAATTGTTACACACGCAATCTTATAAAAATGCGATATCAACATTTATACGCCCACAATTGACGGCTTACTGCCCCTCTAGGTTAATAAAAATTTTTATGATTGTTGAAAGTACATTTACATTGTATATTTACTATTTCTTAAACTAGAGATTGAGAAAAAACAATATACACTTATTACTACATTTTGATATTTCTAATCTCTGGCATGTTGAAGCCAATGCTAACAATCTTTTAGACAAGTACTATATTATCATACCTGGATTAGCAATTTGAGAAATCAGATAAGCCTGCGTTTTTCCAATTATATTAAATGGTGTTGGTCCTGCAGGAATGAGTGGAACTGTGTATGTAATGTTGTGTATACCTTCATTATTTTGGTCGATTTTAGAACTATTATCAAATATATTTGTTGGGTCATTCAAGATAGTTCTTCTTAAGTTCAAGAATTTTTCTTTTTGAGTCTCAACTTGATTGTGAAGAGCTTGAAATTGTCCTGCTAATGCAACAAATGTTTCATAAAGTCTTTTCATACCCAGTGAAATATCTACAAGTTAAAATTTTGGTAAAAAAGTCAAGGAAAAACAACGAATAAATGTGAAAATACCTTCTGATGTAATATTGCTTAAGTTTTGTGAATTTTTTGTCCATTTGTCTAAAGCCTCTAGTTGAATCTTTAACGTATGCATTTCCCTTTCAAAATTATCTATTAAGTCGATGAAGAACTGCATGGGAGTTGTATTATCATATTGCAATCCTGGTGGAGTATCTTGAGTTCTTTGAGCCATTTCAATATACTGTAATCCTCTAGCAACATCATATTTAAGTCTTTCTGTCACACCTCTGTATTTATGAAGTTCAGATTCAATATCATTCAAAGTATTAATTAAAATATCAATGTCATCTTCTACTTTCTTATATTCTTTAGCAGAGCATCTTGATATATCTGAACTGTACCCCTTTTCACTTTTTACAAACATTTTAAAGGACTCAACTGTGTTAAGAATTTCATTAGGAAGTGATTGATCTTTCGGTGATATTTCTTTTTGAGTGGATATGTATGTGGTAGTTTTCACATCAGTTGAAATTCCACCCAAACCAACGTTAGACGTCAAGTTTGATGTTGATGTTGTAACTGTAGAATTGAGAGGGGGTTGTAACGTATTTGAACTACCTAAAAGAATTTAATTATTGTTTGTGTAAAAAATTAATAAATGCAAATATCACGAACTCTATTTATAAAGATATAGATTACTATGATAAACAAGCAATAAATATGAAACATACGAAGAATTTTTCTCCTTGCATTAATTTGCATAAAATATCTTTATAGCGTCATGGCAAAATTCAACGTAAGTAGTCTGTTATACAAAAGAAAATCACTTCACTTAAATGCCATTTCAAAAGAGGAATTGTCAGAATAAGAAATAAAACTGATGGATATTATTGAAATTGAAATTCGGCTTATTAATACAATTAATAATTCCAAACAAGAATCTACAAGAAGATATATATTTTTTAAAAGTTATGGAAAATTCAAAAATGAGTTATTTTTGATAATATTCACCCTGATCTGATCATGAATCTGACAATTCTCGATAAATTCGTGCCTAGTCTGATATAGTACTATGTACTATTCGTTGTTTACATATACAACACAACATCCATATTGTCGCATTGGTTCTCATCAATAGTTTTATATTTTATGAATCACCAGCAGATATGAAATAAATGCATTTAAAATGCAAACACAAAATACCTGTTGCTATTTCGCATTTAAATACTCCTTTAAGAAAAGCAACTTGTATTTCATTTGAAAAATTTTTCCGAACATATCTTCCATTAGTAAGGTGTAGAATACTTTGCTATTGTTTCCAACATCACTACTTAATTAACACATTAGCCACTAGAATGTAGCAACTTTTCAAAACGTGGAGTTGAAGGTATCGGACTTAGTAGATGAGAATCAAAACATTTGAACTCCTTGGAAATAAATAATGGTGTGATAATAGAAATAATCAAAAAAGCCTTGAAAAACAATTTCAATTTTTTATTATGACCTAAAGCTAAAAAACTATCTTGGCTTCAGTATTATATCCTTTTTTCGACTTAAAATGAGTACCAAGGGCAAATAAGGAGCATCTATGGAATGTAGAATAGAAAAAACTAAAACATGCAGACATAAAAAATGTAGCTTATTCACTTCAAACAGAAAAAACCAATTGCTGAAGTACTTTTTTTTAATAATAAGCCATGGTCCGTAGAATAGTTGCCCCGACGATTCGTCTATAATGGACTTGTCTGGCAATTTTTTTTTAATTTATAAATCCAAAGTTCAAGTGAAAAATAAGAGATCTGCAAAAAATCAAAATTTTATTCGCACGTTTAGTGTCTTTGAAACAATTACAAAGTGCCTCTTCTAGGGAAAAGGGGCATGGCCAGGTGTTACGTCATTATACGGTGATTGTACGTGACTCAACGCTAGTTATTAGTCGTTAGACTGTATTTACGGAGTATTCTTTGTAGGTATACATTGTTTGATTATATATGGCTTCAAAAATGTGTTTGTTAGTATTGCATAATTTTAGAAAATAAAACACAAAAGAACGGATACGTTATTTATCTGTTTTCCATCAGACTAAAGGCTAATGAGAATGGCGCGGCAACATGCCAAACAGAGATATGAATTTATCCGTAAAAAGCAAGAGATTCTATGTTTTTTGTCTTAAATATAATTTGATGACGACATAAAGACTATCTTTATTTAAAAATCTTAAAGAAATTAAAATAAAACATTTTTGATTACCAAAAAAAGCTGCATTAGAAAATACACACTAAAATGACACTGTTGCCATTTTTGCTTCTTGAGCCTTTTTTCAGAAATATTAAAAGTATATTATAATTTTTTCTTTTAATTTTGTCTTCCGATATAGGTACCTAATGTTTGTCTTTGTTTAAGAAAGTAATTCTGGTTGTTATAATGTCTCCCAAATGTATAATACAGAAAACATAGTTATCTAGGTCTCTGCTCTGTTATGACTTTCAAAGCTGTGATGATTTTCCATATTTTCGTTTAAATTTTTGTTTGGTATTATTAATTGTATCAGTAAACCAAATTTCAATAAAATCGAATAACAGTATTCCTTATTCAATTAACCCTTTGTAAATAAAAGAAAATAATTCTTTAGTCACCCCAAGTTGTAGGTGTAGGCAGGACCCCTGAAGTTGTGTTACTACCAGGTGCAAAACCTGTAGAAACTCCCACAATAGGTGCTGATGTAGTTGTTATTCTAATAGAGGAAGTCACAGCACTGGCTATATTTGTATTTGGAGTTAATGATGTAAACGATTGTGTTTGACTACCACTAGTTGTTGCTCCTCCAGATGTAATAGCTGGTTTACATTCAAAAAGTCACGTTCTAATTTACCTTATTATATCAACATTGTACTTCAATTGTGATAGGTATAACAAAATTTCAAAAATGTACCAAAATTAAATAAAAAATTTATAGATAAGAAGTAGTAAATACAAGAAGGTATAAAGTTAATGATTCTAGATACCTGTCGTAGCCTTCAATCCTGATGCTAAATTTAAGGAAGGTGTAGGGGTACTTAACATAAAGGCTGTTTGCCCTGAACTAAATTGTAATGGTACATTCGATAATGAAGTAGAAGACGATGTTCCTGTCTGTGCAGTTGAGGTACTCCCAAAGTTTAACGGAGCAGTTGTATTTGTTCCAAATGTAATTCCATTTTGTTGAGTACTAGATGTAATAGCAGGAGACCTACAAAAATGTTAAAGTCCAGTCGCATTAAAACACAAGTTATTTGACTTACTTTAATCCAAAATTAAAAAAACCTTTAGACATGATAATTTAAATTTAAAATATTTTTTATTAAATTNTAAGTGCTAATAATGATGTTTTCAAGATAGAAAACACGCCGCGCGGTATATCTGTCAAACATTATCGAAATTAATCGAATAGTTCCGAAATCTCCCGAATTCATTTGTATAAAAATATTATAATATATTCCATTCCTTTTTCTTTAAAAAAGTTGAAACAAAAGAACATTAAATATCATATATACGTATATTCCCTTCTCACTGCGGGAATAACCTATCACAAATTTAAACTCCGGTAAAAATCGTAAATATTCCGTAGACACACCGTCTGGTGTGTTTTCTATCTCTAAATAATCATAAGTTAAGCAAAAACGACCATTCCAGCTTTTATTAAATATAACCATAGATAAGAAACATACAATACTTACGCTGAAGTCGTATGTACTAGGCACGGTATAAGTAATCCACTGGTTCCAACTTTACCAGTAAATTGTAAGTTGTGTGTCGTGCAGGTTCTAAATATGTAAGTATTACAATTGTTATGTTAAAAAAGAATGTTTAAATTAAATGTCAATTTATTCAAAAACTAATAAAATTAATTTAATCGACGCCAATTGATTACGTGTCATTTGTGCTTGAAGATTGAACTATTATGGTAAGCGGTGTTTATTTTTATGTTATTTATAATAAGTAATGATTACAAATAATACTAAATTTTTTAATGGCATTAGTATGATCATATTATTATCTATGCTTCACCACCTAGACTAGGACAGGGTATGAAATGTCGAGCGCGAGCGACACCTAAATTTACCCCACGTAAGTTTTCAAATCTTTTAAATTACCAAAATCGACATTACAGACATACATTTTACTGAAACGACAACAGATGACGCGACGGCGGTTGCGATTATCGGAGGAATTCCCCAGTAGTTATGGCGTTATTGAGCAATAGTGAGTAGTTTCACAACTTGTAATATTTTAAAATTTTTGTGAAAAGTATTTTTACCTATCCTGAAAGTAAGTAATATATTAAGTACTTCAATCAGGCTTTACAATAAGTAAAGAAAGGATGTTTTCTGTCCAACACAGAAAAACCGTGATGTACAATCTACACTATTACGGGGTCAAATTAATTTGAAATGTTCTACCTAGATTATAGAGTTCCTGCAGGAGTTAAAGGTGAAGATGCCGCTTTCCATTTTCCTGAAGTAACAGCGGTTCCAACGAAAGTGGCAGGTATTGTAATTTGTTGTTGTGAAACTTAAGTTCTAAAAAAAATGTTTTGTAGAACTTCTTCTGGTAGAGGAATGGAAGCAGACGGAATTGCCCCATTAAAAAATGAAAAAGTACTGCATCCAGTGAATACATATGACGGGAAAAGAAGAATTGTTTCAACTGCAGGAAGTTATGCAGATAACAGTTAACAAATACATTAGTACTTGATAGTTGGAATATATATATGAATGGGACAGACAAAGAAAACTTTATCTATACATATAACTATGAAACGTAACTTAAGGCGCGCATTTCAAAATTACACTAAATTTTATTTTTTTTGTTTTAAATGGAAATTGAAAAAAAAAAACAAAAATAATATTAACAAATTTAATAAAGTGTAAATACAGTAATAAATACAATTAGCACAATATACGAGTTAATATCAAAACATCAATTAATTAAAATAATAGATACTAAGACAGGTATATTTGAATGAACAAAGAAATTGTTCTTTACCTAATTTAGTACTGCTTCCTGCTTCTACAGGGGGTGCTAACGTTTCAGAGACTGCAGAAATATTAGCTTCTTTATTGTCCATTGTGAGGGTACTTTCTATAACAAATAATTATATATGTTTTGGATATTTGAAACTGTTATCTGCAGAACTACCTGTAGTTGAAACAATTCTTCTTTTTCCCTGATATGTATTCACTGGATGCAGTACTTTTTCATCTTTTAATGGGGACAGAAAATACTCTTTCCTCTCAGCTCTATTTCAGAAAATAATTACTTATTGTAAAGCATGATTGAAGTACATAATCATTACTTACTTTCAGGATAGGTAAAAGTACTTTTCACAATAATTTTAAAATATTACAAGTTGTGAAATTACTCACTATTGCTTAGTATACGCTACAACTAATGGGGAATTCCGCCGGTAATTGCAACCGCGGTCGCATCATCTGTTGTCGTTTCACTAAAATGTATGTCGCCTAGTATGTCGGTAATGCCGATTTTGGTAATTTAAAAAATTTGAAAACATACATGGGGTAAACTTAGGTGTCGCTGATGCTCGACATTTCATACCCTGGTATACGCTATAACTAGTGGGGAATTCCATCGGTAATTGCAACCGCCGTCGCATCATCTGTTGTCGTTTCACTAAAATGTATGTCGGTAATGCCGATTTTGGTATTTTAAAAAATTTAAAAACTTACGTGGGGTAAACTTAGGTGTCGCTGACGCTCGACCTTTCATACCCTGCTTCACCAATAGTGGGCGCGATTAGATTGCTATACTCCACCCATAGACTAGAATTAGATGTAAAACTCCCGAAATTTTGACGATACTAGTGACATCTAAGTTTACCCTACATTAGTAGACGATACTTGGAATATACAGGGTGTCCCATTTATAATAATTAAAAAGGAAACCATGGCTTGCTGACACAAAATACAACAAAAAAGTGTTATACAATTTTTCAATCCAGTGACAATTGAGCTCGCAAATCGTCTTTGCAAATTTGAACTTATAATGCTGATCTAGTGTGGATGTAACAAGTACCACCTATTGGGAAGAAGCAGAATGCACTTCCACCTTGTAAAAAGAAGGTAAAAATGAAAAAGAAAATCGTACCATTTATAAAAAATGTTGAAATTATCCGCCATTCGCTTCAATGCAACACTGACAGCGACGTACCCTGTTACTGCGAATTTTGGCCAAGATACCGAGAATATTTCGAATTATACGATAGTATAATGTAACTCAGCATCAACTGACGGTTGAATAAAAACCCTACTAGAATGCACTATCACACTACTAATTGTCCTTATTGTAATAGTCTTTTATGAAATGACCACTAAAAAATAAACTAACACTAACAAGCAAGTAAATTCCACAACAATCCAAAGCAAACTGAACAACCTGTTAGAAACTACGACATTATGTGTATTTATTCTAGTCACTTCCAGCAGTGTAATTATACGAGGTTATATCAATATTTAGCTTTTTACATTTAATAAAAACAAAATAACCAAAATTGGTCCTTTTGGACACACCCTTGTATTACCCCACATGGGGCTAATGAGCCCTGCCAGACAAAACTAATGTCAGAATGAGCAGTTTAACAAATGTGTTTGGTCAAAGTAGGTCTGCATCTTGTCTCAATTTTTACAACTATAACACATACATTTGTTTTCGTACACTAGTACGTTATGTTACCAAACGCTGGGTGGCCAGGGTTGTTTGTGCACCGCTTTTAATAATCCCGTAGTCGTTATAATTTCTTTTCTATTTAAAATAGCATAATACTCGACGTCATGGACCACATTAGGTTCACTTCAGTTTGCGATCATTCAGTCATCTAATGGGCCTTAATGCAAGTGCATTTTTTTCGACTAATCCGTAACTTAATACCAAACATAAACAATAACATTACCCAAAAAGCAGCTGATTCCGACCTACTGAAGGTGGATTTTTCTACTATCAGCTGGCAATCGTAATTAATTTGCGATTGTGCAGGGCCGGCATCAAAACTGTTATAATTTTATAATTTTTTATTTTGTTTCAAAAGTCAAAAGTGTTATAACATTTTATGCTCCAAATGTCCNATCACCAACTTTATCAGATCTTTAGACTACCACTTTGGATAAGTACTCTTGAAAATCCTTTTAATAGGTACATTATCTTTATAAATGTCATTAATAATATTGTAAAGTCTATCTGTATCACCGTTCAGGTTTTCACCAGCAAGAATAGGTATCGCACCAATTTACTTCATTCAACTTGTCATTTAACAGTTAATAATCTGCACTATCAAAGTCAGAGTTATATTATAGTCCAATAGGTCACATTTTAAATCAGCCAAATTAAATAAAACAGTAACCAATAAAGCATCACAAGAATCAGTAACTGGGTGCACTGTAGCAGACAAAGTAGAAAAACATAAGCTTAATGTGTAATCCTTCAAATGATGAACTGGATAAAGTGTTTTTAAGTTTAATAAAGAGAAGGCGTCAAGAACAATATCGGCACAACTCTGTGCACATTAAAACAGTTCAAAGATAACCCATTAGTGTTATTCCATGTTATCTTGGGCAGATTATAATCACCAATGATCATTAAATCAGAAACATAAAAGTTACATCAATAACTTTATCAACATGTGCTTTATAAACACTCAAAACAGAGTTTGGAGGTATATATACTGCACCACATATCACATTTTTATTGTTAACGTCTTGTACTGCAAAGTAGAATTGAATTCATAATTGTTAGGTAAATGGTCCAATATAGCAATTGTTATTGATATACGTGTTTTTTTCTTAAATATGTACGCCGCAATAGTTGGCGAAAAGGAAGTTACCGAAACGCCACTAAAACTTGCATTCAATATTTTCGGTAATAGTTGAATATTATGAAAAGGAAGTGTTAAATGTTCAGAGGCAGATATTCTACAACTTTGACTTATTGACAAGGCGTGTTGCTTAAATTTGGGATGGAAGGTAGAATAACAGAAGTCTTGCAGCGCAGTAGACTATATTTTTAAATATTTCCAAACGAATGATTAGTTTGACTAACTGGACAAGCGCTTCGTGCTTCGATGGATTTTTTTTCTGTTTGGTTTATCCTCGAGGACTAAAAGCCCTTCTCGAGCGAGGAGATAAAGCCTGTGGGTTGCTCATCCCCGGGAAGAAAGTGGAAGGCTGGGGTTGGGGATAGGGTTGAGATTGGAAGAGGGTTAATAGTGGGGGGTAGAAGGGAGTGTTGGGGAGGAAAACCGAAGTAGGTGGTCCACCTCTGAAGTACTGGGTGGACACTCGCACTAAAA